CCCGCCACAACGCCCGGCTATTTTTTGGTTGCAGCCGTCATTGTTGTTTGGCGGGTCGGGCTGGGGATTCGAACCCGCCACCTTAGGTGTACGTGGCTGGCGCCTTAGCCGGTTGAGCTATAGGCGCCGAGCCTAATGATGTATTTTTAATTATTTCTTGCACTTAAAGGAATAGAACGTTTTGGAAGGGGATCAGAAAGGAAATAGGATGTGATATAAATAATCATTTTGTAGTCAGTCTCTGAGAAATAGTAGCAGTTATATGAAGTAGGTACCTATACTACAACATAAAGTCCTAAGAGTAAGTCCAGCACTTTCCTGCTGCCACTCTATTTAAAGTTATGGTACTTCTTATTCAGAAAATAGGGCAGTTATTACTCTTATTGGAGAAGTTATCATTTCTTGCACAAGGTTTTTATATGACCTTCAGGCTTCTAAATCTTTTAGCTATGTGATATTACTCTGTCCCTACTACTTAAATAAAATGACTCAAGTCTCCATCCCATATACTATGGAGGGTCCAGTGTCTTCCTGGTGTGTCTGAGGATTCTTGGGGGTAGAGGGCTGTGGAGGTGTGTGCAGGAGCTTGCCACATGCACTTTTATGATCTCTACCTTGGCATCTTGCCTCCGCACTGGATTCTTGATTACTCTGCACAGTTCTCCTGGTCCATGACTGCTGCCTGCTCTCTGATCTCATTGCCTAGAGCAGGGAAAAATTCCCTCTCTTCCTTACCACTTACCAAGAGCTGTTATTATAACAAACTTCTGAAGGTTTGAGAGTTGCAGGTGGCAGAATGAGAGCACAGTGCAAGTTCCTACAGCTCCTGACATATCCTCAGGCTGTGGTGCTCTGTTCAGCTTCTCCTCCCTTCAGGCCTAGGCTCCCCTTCCCCTGCTCTGGACCTTCACCTTTTCTGTCCACACTAGTTCTGAGGGTTACGGTTAGCGATTGTTAATACCCTTTGAATAACTAAAATATTTTCCTAAAAGGAAAGGGTGATACTCTTTAATAGTAATTTGTTCTTCTATGCAGCTTAAAGAGATCAACTGAGACTGCACCTCTCTTTAGACATTGTAGAATTCTTCCCCATCCCCACTATATCCTGAATAGTTCAACTGAGGAGGTTTGGAGTTAAGGCATCATCGCTCCTGCCACTATCTCTCTCTTGGCCTGGTCCTTAGACTAAGCTGGGGACATCCGGGGGCTGAGGCTGTGTCTACCCTGTTCATTGTTTCATACTCACAGTTGCACACAGTGGCTTGTGGTCAGTGCCTGGTAAATATTTGTGGGATGATGAGCACAGTGAAAGAACAGCCTTTGTATATAACTATTATAACACAGAGGGAAGGAGATCCTGAAATTCCTCTTAAACTTTGTCCCTTTCAGTTGCTGCTTCTTTCAGGGAAGCAGATAACCCCTGGTCTTACCTGCAAGAGGCTGTGGATGGAATAAGAAGGCTTTTATTCTGATGGACATGTACCATCACTATGTGAAAACTGAGTTGAGGCACATAGAATTTGAGTCAAGGAAATAAAACACTGCATCTCACGGGTAATCCCTCGGAGTATGGTCTTGTCCACTGCTGTCTGCTGCTTGGTCTTGCTTGCCTTTCGGTGATGCTGTTCAAGATACAGCCTGGGTTGTGCATGGACTTTGTCTTGACACAGTCCACACTTAGGACGCAAAAAATAAGAAAACTCTTACCTGGAGGGGGCTAGGAAGTTAGGACTCTTTCCTCCACCCATCTTCCTCTTCCATATAGGAGTCTCCTTTCAATGGCTCATAGTTAGTGGTTGCTGTAGATTGAATTTAAAGGTCATGAGGTTTAGGTCTCTTCAGAATGTTATTACCTTGTTAAATTTGAATGGCTCAATAGGGAAAGAATAGCTATCCTTATGGGAGGCTCAGGGAAGCAAAGCCTGGATTCAGGCCTGGGTCTGAAGGACTTCCCAGCCTGTGCTGGCTCTGTGTTGCCCCCCAACCCTGCCACCTGGCTTTCTAGAATCTTCATTTACCTTGACACGTACATGTGTGATATGCTCTGGTGTTGCTGATGGAGCTGAGACACCTTAGAGTTTAGAGTTTAAAAATGCATGTTGGCTGTAAAGCACCAGCAGGTAATCTGCTCTGAAACAGATGACTGTGTGTGCTCCCACCACACCTGAGGGCCTCCAGGAGAGGCTGTGTGTCCACAGGAACCCTCTGGTGGGCCTGCCCTGACATGCCTACCTCTGTGCGGCACAAGTACCCAAGCCACTGCGTTCCCACCTGTTCTTCCTACTGTATCAGGAACCAGGTTTAGGGAAGAAGAATGACATCAGCGGTGACTGCTGTAAAAAAACAAGCAAATAGGCCTTCCTATTGGCTCTGCTCATGGAGATGGGCTGTCACCTTTGTGTTTATAGTCTCACATATTTCATGATTTTATAGAAATAAGTATCTTTCCTGCATTCCTCTTATTTTAGCAAAGGTTTCCAAAAGCAGTCATGTCCTAGCTTGTTTGTTTCTTGTTGACTTTTTTTTTTTTTTTTGAGGCGGAGCCTCAAGCTATCCCCCTGGGTAGAGTGCCACGGCCTCACAGCTCACAGCAACCTCCAACTCCTGGGCTCAAGCGAGTCTCCTGCCTCAGCCTCCCAAGTAGCTGGGACCACAGGCACCCGCCACAACCGCCGGCCATTTTTTGGTTGCAGCCATCATTGTTGTTTGGCGGGCCGGGCTGGGGATTCGAACCCGCCACCTTAGGTGTATGTGGCTGGCGCCTTAGCGGATTGAGCCACAGGCGCTGAGCCTTGTTGACATTTTTTTTTTCGGTTTTTGGAAAGTCTTGGAAAAAACTACTAAAACTGACCTTTGTCCTTTCTTTTTATGTTATGTTCTTTACCTGCTAGCAAGTGTAATCTCCGCAAGGAAATAGAGTAAATTATTCTAGTATCTGGACAGCTAGTGTGTTACTCCTCACGCTTGAACACATTCCCTACTGTAAGTCTTATGCAGTACAGCTGCCTTTGAAGAGAGGCAGGAAAGGGGAGGGGAATCATTCGCAGTGAAACCAGCCACTTGTGTTCAGGAAAGCTGTTCTGTACCCTAGCCATCGCTAAGGCTACCTGTCCCTACCACCACCATGGTAAACCCTAGCCTGTCCCTAAGAGTATCCATCACTAATCCTAGACAACCCTTAACCTGAGCCAACGCTAACCCTAGGTGGTCTCTAATGTGAGCATCACTAACCCTTGCCAGTCTAGGATTAGAGATAGCTGAAGTATGGGACCAGTTAAAATTAGCAATGGCTCAAATTAGGGATCCACTCTGATTAGTGATGGTTAGGATTGAGGACTGGTTAGGGTTAGGGATGGTCTTGGGTTCCTGATGGCTAGGGTTTAAGGACCAGCTACTGCTAATGATGAAGAGTTATGGAGTGGCTCATGTTAGCAATGACTTGAGTAGGGACCATTGCCCTAGTTGTGGCCATGTGTTGAGCTGCAGTGTCATCATTGTGATCACTGCTTGTATAGTGTCAGCATTCAGTGCAGTGGAGGTAAGTTCACACCAGCATGATTTGGGGCGCAAGCCCATACCTTCTTTTTGGGTGAATTTTCCTACACAAGTTTTAAGTTTAACTCTTCCTTTTCTTTTCTGTACTAGTTTATTCTTCATGGGTGATCTCTTTCCAGAGTGAGACACGTTTGCCTTAGAAATTGGGAGGTAGGAGCCACTTGAAGCCTGGGTTGCATTTTGCTGCCTTTGCTTCCTCTACCTTGCCACCCTGTAGCTGGCCTGGCTCTGGCTGGTCAGCACCAGGACTACAGCTTTTCCTTTGGTTCCTGTCCTGCCAAGCAGCGGACGTGCCCAGGGTTTATGCAGGTTTCTTTAGCACGACATTTAGGGTTTTTGGTATATTCACACTTTCCTCTAAGAAGCTTATTGCAGAGTGGAAGTCTGAGGGATTTGTGTTCACACCATCATCTGCATGATTAACAAGCTTCTGGTATGACTTAGTGGGTGGAATATGTCTTAGGAAAAAATGTGTAATTCTGACAAGATGCTTCTGTTAGGTCCAGCCAGCTGTTTCAAGCAGAACACTGATAAATTTGTTCAAAGTAAATTTTGTTTCACTTGGAAGCAAACATAATTCTTAAGAATGAGGTAAAGTAACTCAAAGTGTGTGCACTGTTGTTTTGTATAGGGCTGCAGGAAGGAGTCTCCTTTTCCTTCCACTGAAGTTATTTATCCTCCTATAACCTAAGGAAGAGAGGAATTGTGGCTGGCCCAGGGATAAGAGTTCTGGATACTGGCTCATGTGACATATTTGTTGTAACAGATTACAACAAATTTAGTGGCTTAAAGCAACACAGATTAAGTAACTTAAGGTTTTGTAGGTCAGACAACTGACACAGGTCTTACTGGGCAATAATCAAGGTATCAGCAGGACCATGTTGCTCTCTGGTGGCTTGAGGGAAACACCTGCTTCTAGGCCCTTCCCAGCATCATATTCCTTGGCTTGTGGTCTCCTTCTAGCCACCAGGCAAAGTCAGTGGTTTCTCTTTGGCCATAGTCACACGTACCTCAACTCTGGCTGGGAAGGTTCTCTCATTTAATGGGTCAGTTACATTGAGCCCTCAGTAGTGCCCAAGAGCATCCCAGGAGTCCCCTGGGAGTGCCTAGGAGTGCCCAGGACCCCACTCCCCAGGTATGCCCAGGAGGCCCAGGAGTGCCCTGCAAAGTGCTGGTCAGTGCCAGATAGGAGTGCCTGCCCTTAGCCCTAGCCTATGACGAGTGGTCAGGAGAGACTTCCTAAGGAGGCAGTGCCTGAGCTAGGTCCTGAGATACAGGTGGCATTCACATCTGGAAAGCAGTGACTGTTTTTCTAACCCATGCAGGAACCAGACCTTTGATCCTGGCCTTACTTATACTTGATTCTAAACAACAGAAGCAGCCATTCGAGGTAGACATAAAAATGAAAGTGAAAGAAATGCAGCATAATTATCAATTGCAGGTGAATGGGGGCTGTCTGGAAAGTATCCCAACACGGATGTCTCTGTTTTTCACAGGTAGCCCTCATGTAATGACTTTTATACAAGTGCTGGGAGCGGAGGGCTGCTCTTGATGAGTTTGGAGAGGAGGAGGCCAGTGGCGATGACAGCAGATTCTTTGCTGGCTGAGGATGGAAAATATGAGGTGGAATGGTCAGCTGGAATGGAGGGCCATAAAACTCAATGATTTACAACATTAATTTGATTTAAGAAGTAATTGGAAACGGTCTCCAGATTGTAAAGCCAGAGGTGATATGGACACAACCATGTTTCAGGAGTTGTTCTTGCTGCTCTGCTTGTATTTCTCAGGTTCTCTTCCCATCTTCCAAGGTCCTGGTTTTTTTTTTTTGTCTTCTAAATGTAGATATTTCTTACACAATTGCCCACAGTTTACTTTTGTCTCAACAGCCTTTCAAACTATGTTCCTGGGTCCCCTTCAGGCGGTGCTGGACTGGTGGGAGCGTGAAATCAGCCCCCAGGCACATTTCACTTTTTTTTGTCTATTATAGATCCTAGAAAGAAAATTAGCCAGAAACCCAGGAGCAGTCTTCCCTTCGGACATTTGGGAAACTCTGTTCTGCATTTCTCCCTTGGTGTTTGGACATTCTCTTTTGACCATATCGTTGCTGTATAGATGGTAGCAGCCCTGGAGATTTGGGATGGAGGCTGCTGTTTTGCCTTCTCTCCTCTACACCTTCCCTAAACCATTAGTAGCAGCAAAACAGCAAGGCTGGATACTGTCGCTGGCTGGTGGCCCTTTGGTCAGGAGTAGAAGAATGTGCATTTGGTGGATTGGATCTTGGGAGCTGGGAGGGAAGAGAAAGGAGTGAGAGCAGGAGCTGGGTGTGCATAAGGGAGTAGATGGAGCTGGGGGAAGTGGACAAAGCCATGGGAGTGCACTGCTGGGAGTGGCTCAGGCCTGGCTGAGGAGGAAGGCGTATAGCTGGGCAGAGTCTGTGTCATGAGGAATTAGAAAAGTATGCAAGAAAAGGGGCCCTGATAGTAGAATAAGGGCAAAAAAACCAAATATGAATGAAGAAGCATGTTTTTTCTTAATTTGTGTTTATTTGCATCTGCCTTCCTCCTCCAAGTGCCTGGTAGGTTTGATTGAAGTTACTATGATTAGAAAATTTTATGTGGCCAATTTGGGGTGAGGTAGAAGTTTAAGGAAATGATCATCAGGTCATAATTCCCCAGCTTAGTGCTCCCTCAAACACCTGTTAAAGGGAAACACAAGTAACACACTGTTGTGGGATTGCAGTGTTCTCAACACCTTCTGAAATTGCTTTATAAGAACAGTTTATTATATTAATTCTGGACGTCCATTACATTGGAACAGAAACAGCTAGTGACAGCCGAGTCATGTTTGGGTGATAATCTGACCAGACAGCTCGAGAACAATCCTGGAGACTTAACTGTTAAAGACTCAGTATTTTCATGAAAACTGTTGTATCATGAAAGGCATTTCACTGTGTAGGGAAATGCAACATGTATTTTGTTGTACAAAGGACTTTAAAAAAAATTTCTGTCCTTGACCTGTATTGCTACTTGCTTCTCATGTGGCACCTCTTGTCACTGTGAGTTGTCTGTACTTCAGTCCTTTCTGGGAAGCTTCTCAAACTCAAGTTGGAATCAGCCAAAGTCTGTGTCAATTTATTTATTTATTTTTGAGACAGAGCCTCAAGCTGTCGCCCTGGGTCGAGTGCCATGGCATCACAGCTCACAGCAACCTCCAACTCCTGGACTCAAGCAAGTCTTCTGCCTCAGCCTCCCAAGTAGCTGGGACCACAGGCACCTGCCATAACACCAGGCTGTTTTTTTGGTTGCAGCCATCATTGTTGTTTGGCGGGCCTGTGCTGGATTCGAACCCACTAGCTCAGGTGTACGTTGCTGGCACCTTACCCGCTTGAGCCACAGGCGCCAAGCCGTCTGTGCCAATTTAAATAGAACTAGATTATTAAATTATGAACATTTTATTAGCTGTTCCCACTGGAAGAGTATCTTCTCAATGTTCTTTATAGTAGGTCACTGAATCTTTTTGACTTTATGGAGCAATGAGAAATGCATGAAGGGACCTGAGTACAGATAGGCTGCCCTGTGCGTGTACCTGGGCATTGGCATTTAGAGTGCATAAAATAAATTGGCAGTGAGTGTTTTATTTACCTGTTAGAATTTCATCTAGATCTTCAAGTAGCATTTTGCCAGATTTATTGGAATGCACTTGATGGTACAGAATGGAGGCATAAAGTACTTAAAAAATATGTATATGCAGATCACAGTGTTGCATATAAACAAAAACTACTTGGAATGTAGGTTTGCTGTCATGCTTATTTTTAAGTGAGCACAGTAGTCACTGTTGGTTGAAATGTGTTTTAGATGCAAAGTTGTTATAACACTTGACCTGCCCAAACTGCCAAGCCGTTGATGAAGCTGGTGGTGTGAATGACCGACAGAGACCACGGTCAGGCCGGAGAGTCAGTCTCTCCAGCCCGCTCTCCTTTCAAGCCTCCCTTTCATGTGTAGCCAAGTGAAAGTCTCTGCATGAAATGTAAGCTCTGCAGATCCCAGGGGCTTGGCCTGATGAGGGGCACAGAACAGCAGCTTGCAAAGCCCACAGGCTGTGTGGAGGGCAGTGGGCCAGGAATGGTTGGACTCTGAGACCTTCCTGAGGTGGTGAATGAACAGGCAGAGCCTTTGTGGGGAGCCATCCTGTGCTGTCCAGCGGTTGTTGTGGCTTCATCCTCTAGACCAGGGGTCCTCAAACTTTTTTTCTTTTTTTTTGAGATAGGAGCCTCAAGCTGTCCCCCTGGGTAGAGTGCTGTGGCATCTCAGCAGCAACCTCCAACTCCTGGGCTCAAGCGAGTCTCCTGCCTCAGTCTCCCAAGTAGCTGGGACCACAGG